CATTAGAGATATGAGATGATGATGATAAGGATGACTACAAAAGAACTAAAAGGACGTTGCTTTTTTTCAAGGAAGTGCAGGAGTCAATTAATTATAACTTACGGAGCTTATTATTTTAGAAAAATTTGTGGCAGTAACTAAGCTTATCACGTATGAAAGCGGACGCCAAAAATTTGCGCTTAGCAAGCTTCCTGTTACGGCTACTAATATTTGATGAACTTGTCTTCCATTTTGCAATAGAGCGCGCAACCTTAGAAGAACCTTTGAACTTATTTTCCAATTCCATCGGACTTTTTGCGTAGATTTTTGCTAGTAAACACCCTTTGCAATTCAGGAACAACATATAGCAGGAAGCTTTATACAATTTGAAACAAAACCATCACTATTTTCAAGTTTTCGTTAAAGTTTAGCTCGCTTTGAGACAAGATGAAGCTGAATGTGCACCACTCATAGCAACTAACAACAATGAGTGTCGAATGAAAATGTTTGCAAACGCGCTCAAAATTTTGGTGGAGTGTGTTTGATAATAATAAGAAGTAATGTAAACGGATAAATTTTTATAATTTCTCTTTACCCAGTAAGCTTATTATTATGGAGAAAATTGTGATGTGATTTACACGGCATAGCTTTCTTTATTTTCGAATTCTCGAATTCGAAAGGACGGGAAAAAGTTTGAGTTTTGGTTTGATCATTCAACATAAGACATCTTTAGGAGCGTACTCTATGCATTATCTGAATTTTGCAGCGTTTCCATTCCACATATCAACACAGATTATCAAGAAATAAACACAAAAAAGGGTTTGAGCAATTTTGTGCCTCTGATCGAAATTCGACTAAGAATCAGGGGAAAGAGCTTCGATAATATGCGTTTAGATCTTTGATCGTGTCCACTGTAATGTGGTGGTTAAAGTCCTACAGTGGAAAGGAATCTCAAAGATAAGAATGTTTTTTAGGGACATAAGGATCGGCAATTTACTACATATGATATCCGTGGAGGATGCTCAATACAAGGGACACTGG